AGAATGAGCAGTTCCATTTATCAGCTATTCTTGGATTCAGAGTTTGGATATCTAGGATTTTAGCAGCATCCTCTTCAGTGAACAAAACTCTGACTAATGTATGATCCCACTGCATTCCTCCTGCACTTAGCAAGTCTTTCACCCAGAATAAGTTCCCCTCAACTTCAACTCGCAGTTCAGGTTTCCTGCAGCTAACCCCTGGCACCCAATTCACCTCATTTATTCTAGTGGTTTGGCCATTTCTGATGACAAGATTTACCTGTTGTTTCAGCAAAGGAAGGTAGGAAGCCCAAGACTGCCACAACCAAGATGCATTCCCAGATTTTGCCCAGTCAAAAATGGAACAGTTTTTGAAATATTTACTCTTGATAACTCTGCACATCAGCAAGTCAGGCTGCTCAATAATTCTCCATAACTGTTTCATTATCAGAGCTTGATTAAAGAGCTTAATGTCCAGAAAACCCAGGCCCCCTTCATCCTTTGGAATAGACAATTTTTCCCAAGAAAGCCAATGCAAGTTCTGCTTCTGTTGGTCTCCCTTGTTCCACCAGAATTGAGCCACTAACCTGCATACTTCTTTACACAACCCAACAGGCAAAACAAAGCAAGACATAACATAAACTGGAAGAGCACATAACACAGACTTCACCAAGACTTCCTTGCCTGCAGTTGAAAGTAAAGAATTTTTCCAGCTACAAATCCTATCTCTAACAGCTTCCACCACAAACTGAAAAGTCTCAATTTTAGATGCCCCAATCCCTAAGGGTAACCCCAAATATCTAGATGACCTCTTTACCACAACACCATTAAGAATAGAAGAAATCCTCACCTTCAAATGCTCAGAACTGTTTTTGCTCAGAAATAAGGAGGATTTGAACAAATTCACTTTCTGACCAGTAAAAGTTTGGTATTTTTGAAGAATATCCAACAGCAACCTTGCATGATTCTCATCAGCTTTACAGAAGATAAGGGCATCATCAGCAAATAACAAGTGTGAAAGCATTGGCCCTTCTCTAGATACTTTAATACCCCTAAAACAGCCAGTGAGCATTTTATGTTGTAGATAAGCAGAGAACACTTCAGATATCAAAATGAACAGGTAAGGGGATAAAGGATCCCCTTGCCTAAGTCCTCTACTAGATGTAACATATCCACAAACTCTGCCATTCAAGTTAAAAGAGAAGGTAGGACAAGAGATGCAGTTAATAATCCAGTGAACAAACTTCCCATGAAATCCCATTTTTCCCATAACCTTTCTAACACACTCCCATTCCACACGGTCATATGCCTTCTCCATGTCAAGTTTGACTGCCATGAACACATTTGGCCCAGAAACATGTCTATGAAGGAAATGAAAAACTTCATGGGCAATAACTATATTATCCAATAATAATCTACCAGGAACAAAAGCTGTCTGGGCTTGACTCACACAAACATCCAAACAGCATTTCAGTCTCTCAGCCAAAATCTTAGCAATAATTTTATACAAAACACCACATAAACTTATAGGCCTGTAATTGCTTAGCTTGTCAGGATACATACATTTAGGGATAAGAGTTATAATAGTATGTTTCCAATTCTTCAGTAAGTGGCCAGACCTAAAAAAACTACACACAGCCTTGCAAACATCATCTTTCACAATGTGCCAAAATTTTTGAAAAAACAGAGCAGACATACCATCATCCCCAGGGGCTTTCTCAGGAGCCATGCTAAACACTGCAGCCTTTATTTCCTCCTCATTCACAGCTCTGACAAGATCATTATTTAGAGCCTCTGAAATGGAGTGTGGAATATGTTGAAGAAGTTCATCACCTCCACTGGAACCCTCAGAAGAGAATAAATCAGAGTAAAAATTTGATATATGCCTCTCCATGGTCTCATAAGTATCACAGACAACACCAGAAGGGGTAATAAGTTTGGTAATAGTATTTGATCTCCTTCTCTGGGATGTAAAAGCATGAAAAAATCTTGAATTTCGATCCCCAGCTTTCAGCCATAGTGCTCTAGATTTAACCCTCCAGTACATTTCCTCTTCCTGATAAGCATTGTCCAGCTCAAATTTCAGAGCTGCCCATTCTTCCCAATCTCTGTCTTTCCCAGCAGCCCTCATCTCTTCTAACTTTGCAGTGGTAGCGGATATGATTCTTTCACTATTTCTGTGTTGAGGCTTGTGCCAGGCAAGAAGAGCCATTCTGGTACTTTTCACTTTCTGGTGCACTTGGAACATATAAGACCCTTCAACTTGCACAGTCCATCCTTCTTGTACAGCATCTTGCACTCCTTCTAAAACTGCCCATTGTCTGCTGAAAGAAAACCTTTTGTGTCTCCTGGCAATCTCTTTATCAGTGTCAATAAACAGAATATTATGGTCTGAGGCTGATCTATAGTAGTTTGATGCCTCCATATTAGGAAAAGTGGTCAGCCAATCATAAGACACAAATATTTTGTCTAATCTCTCCTCCACATATCCATCATTTGCTCTGTTATTACCCCAAGTGTAAAACGACCCCTTCTGAGCCACTTCATGCATCTGCATATTCATAATAAACTGTTGAAACCCAACAAAACTACTAGCACTCCTTCTCACACCCCCCCTTTTCTCCTCATTACAAACTATGTCATTCCAGTCACCTGCTATCATCCAGCATTGTCCCCATTTAACCTTACTAGCTTCAAGAAATTCCCATTGATGATTTCTTTCCCTTCTATCAGTGCTCAGATACACAAAAACCAACCAATACCCTGCTGACATATTAGTCTCTCTCACTTCCACTTGACAGCAAAACTCATTCCCCAGAATTTGGATAATCTCAATATTAGGATCCCATAGAAGCAATAAACCACCTCTTGTCCCAATAGGTTTTTCCAAATGCCATCGATCCTGGAATCCCAACTTCCTACACACAGTCCGAGTAAATTGAACAGATTTCTTAGTCTCAGATAAAAAGATAATATTTGGGTGATGAATTCTCCTCGAATCCTTGATCTGGGAAACTGTCGAGGGCCCACCCAAACCTCGACAGTTCCACACCATGACCTTCATTGATCACTGTGGGGCCATTTTTGGCTGGCCTTCTCCACCATTTCCTTTCATTCTCTTCTCAGAACCTCCTTCTTCTTCTGGTTGGCCCCCCTCATAGATTATCAGAGCTCTGCTTCTCTTCATAGAACCTTTTTCATGTGGTGTGCAGGAGGTTTCAGGAATAGATATCACATTCCTCTGTGATGGTACTCTTCTTCTCCACCCAATATCTGGCTTCTTTCTCAGATTATAGGTACACACAGTTCTCTGACCAAAGACCTCAGGAACTACCTTATCTGTCTGTGTTTCTTCTATTATCATTGCCTCTTTACCAGAACCACCCACTTCCTGTTCATGGCTCTGTGATAGCTGTGGACATCCAACATTCCCAGGGTTTTCCCCTAGTTGTTTAGAACTATCTCCCCTAGCCTCATGGCTCTTTATTTGCTCTGGACCTTCTCCATGTTGGTTAGCATTTGCTGATACCCATGATTCCTGAACAGGACTCCTATTAAGTGGAGAATCTTTTTCATCTGGGCTGTCAGATTGCAAACTTCTACCCCCTGGATATGTCTCAGCAGTCTTTAGCCACTCACCAAATTGGCCAGCAAGTACACAATCATTTGCAATATCTTCTCCCTTCTTAATACAATTCCTCTCCAGATGCCCAATCCTCCCACAATAGTAGCACAGATTGACAAGCTTCTCATATCTGAACATCACCATTGCCCTTTGAGTCCCCAACTTAATAGATGTGCATCGCGGGATAGCCTCATTTATATTAATAACCACCAGCAGCTTCAAAAAACTTCCCACATCTCCCCCAACCTTGCAGACAACCACATTCTTTACTTTGCTAAAGATCTTACCCACTTTCAGACCTACTTCATTACTCATCCAATTTAAGGGCACATTCAACACTTGGACCCACAAGGTTATCTCCTCGAAACAACAGTGCTTGCTATGTAAACCCGGAAACCACTCTTTTAAGATTAAATACTGGTTTTCATACATCCAGTTGAAACCGGCGGCTACTTTCTTCTTATCCTCTTGAGATAGAAAAATGAATTGGAAGAAGTTTGCACTGATTTCCTTTACCTCCATGGTATGCTGCAGTCTCCATATTGCGCCCATCGTTCGTTTAATGCCCAACAGACCTGCGTGCCTATCACCCACTACCTTGCCAAAAAGACTCCGCGCACACTCCTCTTCACTGGCTACAATGTCATCCTCTTTGATTTCCACCTCGCCTGCTTCCTTAGCTGATAGCGACATCGTTATTAATTTTCGCAATACTCCTTCGTCAACCTCCCTGGCATCATTACCCCCTATATCGTTTCCCTCCATTGCTATGCCGACACTTTACCCCTTTCGTCCCCAATAAACCTAATCCTACAAGATCGAAATTTGATTGAAAACCTCCCGAATCCCTCAAACGAAGGAATTCAGCTCTCACCCAAGAAAATTTCGCTCTCACCCAAGATAATTTCGCTCTCACCTGAGAGAATTTCCGATCACATCCAAGCAATATAGGTTACTCTCCAAAATGCTAATTTAAATAAAAAAAAATAATTAAAAGAATAAAAAGAAAAGAAAATGGAGTGCACATTAATCTGTGTAGAATATAAAAGTACAAAGCATTACAATTTAAATGCGGCGTTGCGTCGTTTGAGACGTTTTTGAAAGTCGAGAAATAAATTAGTGTTGCACACAGCTTAAGGAACTTAAAACTCAAATCTCTCCGCCCAGATTCATGTGCATATGGCCATATGCTATGTCCCCCAAAACGAAAAACAAAACACACTGTAGTCTGAACACAAACACACAAAACAGGGGAAGTTGCAAGAAAAACAAAATCATAACGTTGGAGTTTGACTGCCATATGATCATATTCCCACTGATCCAACCACACACGGCGGAGCAGTCCCATCTCCGTGAGAATCCACAATACATGCACCAACTCAAACAAGGTTTCAAACTAGCTAGCTTCTTCCTTCCCCCACGCCACACCAGAAAAATGGCAACAAGCAAGACTAATAATAATAACGATGACGAGAATGATGGCTTAGTCATCATCTTCATCTTCATCATCCTCTTGTGCTGTATTAGTATTAAAGGCGGGCAGTGTCTGTCTCCAGACGGCGAGGCCCTTCTCTCTCTCACATCTTCATCTTCTTCCTCATCTCTCTCCTCCTCGTGGGACCCCTCGGCCCCCACCCCCTGCGCGTGGCCTGGAATTACCTGCTCACCCGCCCAAATGGTAATTTCCATTTCCATCCCCAACACTTTCCTAAATCTCTCTTCCATCCCATCCCAACTCTCTTCTCTCTCATCCTTACAGTTTCTCAACCTCTCCTCCACCAACCTCTCCGGCCCCATCCCCACCTTCCTCTTCTCTTCCTTCCCCCATCTCCATCTCCTTGACCTCTCCTTCAACCATCTCTCCGGCGAAATTCCTCCCGACATTGGAAACCTCTCCTCCGCCCTTCACTTCCTTTTCCTCAACTCCAACGCCCTCACCGGCCCCATCCCTCCCCAGATTTCCAACCTCACTTCGCTTCAGGTCCTCTGCCTTCAGGACAATCTTCTCAACGGCACCCTTCCCCACCAACTCGGCTACTTAATATCCCTCCGCCACCTCCGAATCGGCGGCAACCCTTACCTCGCCGGCGAAATCCCAGCCGAATTAGGGTTTTTGACCAATTTGGCCACCTTCGGAGCTGCGGCCACTGGATTCTCAGGGCCAATTCCGTCCACCTTTGGGAATCTGCTCAGTCTCCAGACGCTGGCCCTTTACGACACCCATCTTTCCGGGCCTATACCTCCCGAGCTCGGCTCCTGCTCGCAGCTCACCAATTTGTACCTGCACATGAACAAGCTCACCGGCCCAATTCCGGCCAATTTCTGCAACCTTCACAAGCTTACCACCTTACTGCTCTGGGGGAACTCCCTCTCCGGCCCAATCCCGCCACACATCTCAAACTGCTCCTCTCTCGTGGTCCTTGATTTGTCGGCCAACCAACTATCCGGTGACATTCCTGCGGATTTGGGGAAGCTGCCCTTTCTGGAGCAGCTTCATTTGTCGGATAACAGGCTAGCGGGCCCGATTCCATGGCAGCTGAGCAACTGCACCAGCCTGACGGGCCTCCAGCTCGACAAGAACCAGTTGTTGGGTCCGATCCCCTCGGAAATCGGGAGATTGAAAAATCTGCAGAGTTTTTTCCTGTGGGAAAATTTAGTCTCTGGAGTTATACATCCGGCGTTGGGGAACTGTACCCAGCTTTACGCTCTCGACCTCTCCAGGAACAAACTCACGGGCCCCATTCCGGAGGAGATATTTGGTCTGAACAAGCTTAGCAAGCTTTTGCTGCTCGGGAATTCGTTGACCGGTGGGTTGCCACCAAGTGTTGCCAGATGCCAGTCTCTTGTGCGGTTGAGGCTCGGGGAGAATCGGCTTTCAGGTCAAATTCCTAACGAAATCGGGCAGCTGCAGAATCTCGTGTTTCTTGATCTGTACATGAATCGGTTCTCGGGAGGCTTGCCTCCCGAGATAGCCAACATCTCTGTTTTGGAGCTTTTGGACGTGCATAATAACTATCTTACAGGTGGAATACCGTCCGAGTTGGGTGGGCTTGTTAATTTAGAGCAGATTGACTTGAGTCGAAATAGTTTCAGCGGTGAGATTCCTGAGAGTTTCGGTAATCTTAGCTACTTGAACAAACTTATTCTGAATAATAATCTTCTCTCTGGGGAAATACCAAAGTTGATAAAGAACTTGCAGAAAATAACTCTTCTTGATTTGAGCTTCAATCGTCTTTCCGGTCCAATCCCGCCCGAAATTGGGTACTTGACTAGTTTAACGATTAGTTTAGATTTGAGCTCCAATAGATTCACTGGTGAAATACCCGAGACCATGTCTGGTCTGACACAGTTGCAATCGCTTGACCTCTCGAGCAATATGCTCGATGGGAAGATCGTGGTTTTGAGTTCTCTTACGAGCCTCACGTATCTTAACATTTCCTGTAATAACTTTTCAGGTCCGAAACCCGTGACCCCATTCTTCAAAACCCTGACGAAAAATTCTTTTCTTAAAAACCCTCACCTTTGCGAGTCTGTTGATGGCTTAACTTGCTCGTCCGAACTACCTAGAAAACACATGTTAAAGTCGGGCAAAACCGTGGCCTTAGTGGTTGCCATCTCGATTTGCATGGCCATGATAATTATCGGCATATGGTTCCTAGTGATGAAGAATCATAAATATGTGATTGATAAGTCGGGCATGTTGACCTCATGCTCTAGGGACCAAGAGGACTTCTCTTACCCATGGACTTTTATCCCTTTCCAAAAGCTCAACTTCACGATCGAGAACATCCTAAGCTGTTTGAGGGATGAAAACGAAATTGGGAAAGGATGCTCGGGCGTTGTTTATAGGGCGGAAATGCCTAATGGTGAGGTAATTGCGGTTAAAAAGCTATGGAGGACAAAAAAAGACGAGGAGGAGCCCCTCATAGACTCTTTTGCGGCCGAGATTCAAATACTCGGGCATATCAGGCACAGGAATATAGTGACGCTACTAGGCTATTGCTCGAACAAGAGCGTGAAACTTCTTTTGTACAATTACATCTCCAATGGCAACCTTCAGCAGCTTCTGCAGAATAATCGGAACTTGGACTGGGAGACAAGGTACAAGATTGCAGTGGGGTCTGCCCAGGGTCTTGCTTACCTGCACCACGATTGCTTGCCGACTATACTCCATAGGGATGTGAAGTGCAACAACATACTGTTGGATTCAAAGTATGAGGCTTACCTAGCAGATTTCGGGCTCGCCAAGCTTATGAACTCGCCTAATTATCAGCAGGCCATGTCCCGAGTCGCGGGCTCTTATGGATACATAGCGCCAGGCAAGTGCTTTTTCTCGGACGTTTCTGCTTCATTTTTAAAGCTTGTATAATGTTTTATCAGTCTTTTCAATGAGAAATTACTTTGGAATGCCAATTTTGGTCCCGGCGAAGTAATAATTTCAACTTGTGTTCCAAAACCGAGAATTATAAAACTTTTTTTTTTTTTTTTGCAGAATATGGGTATACAGTGAACATAACAGAAAAGAGTGATGTCTACAGTTATGGGGTGGTGTTGCTGGAGATCCTGAGCGGAAGAAGTGCGGTAGAGCCACAAATAGAAGATGGGCTCCACATTGTAGAGTGGGTGAAGAAGAAAATGGGTAGCTTTGAGCCAGCTGTCACGATACTCGATTCCAAGCTCCAAGGATTGCCGGACCAGACAGTGCAAGAAATGCTCCAAACGCTGGGTATTGCAATGTTCTGTGTGAACCCGTCCCCGGCCGAGAGGCCCACTATGAAGGAAGTTGTGGCGCTCTTAGTGGAGGTGAAGAGCCCACAGGAGGATCTTCAATCCGGGAAAACGTGTCAACCATTAATCAAACAGTCCTCTTTTCATAGTTAATCTTATTTTTATTTTTATTTTCTGCCATTTTTTAATGATTAGTATTAGAGTTTAGAGGTGATTTGATGTTTGGTTTGTAGGGAGTTGGCGGATAATAGTTGGAAGCCATGGGAGAGGTTTCTAATTCTTGAATTGGACATTGCCATTTGGGAATTTCATTGTACAGGTTTTTGAGTTGGTCTTTCTATTTCTGAGTTGATGCTTAAGTTTTTGCACTAAACACAACAAACCCTTTGTGCTACTTTTTCTCCAAGATACTTGGAAAATTTTGGTGTTCCTGGGATTATTTTCTATAACGTGATGGTGAATATTTTTTTGTCGATTAAAGTTAGTAAAATAAATGAATTAATTTATTACATGTATTGATGACCCCCGAGTAGAAAAGTAGGTCCACAAAAGAGAATAAGACAGACTGCGTCCAAAAAATTGAGCTGGATAGACCGACCATCAAGCGAAAAGAACCGAACCGAAAGAGGCAACAAAGCTGAATCCAAGACAGGGACTCCAACCCGAGCTGGACTAACAGGTCGAGCAAAAAACAGTAAAATAAAAGCCACTTGCAGCCTAATGATGAGAAAGTATATTTTCGTCCGCTAACTTGTCGGTCTACCCGTCTTAGACTCATAGAGTGGCAAATGCTCTTGTCCAATTAATTAAATGCGGACCGTACGTGATCGATGAAGGTTCTCCGAGCTACAATTACTATAAATACCCCTGTATTATATCTAAAAAGGAGGATAAAAAAATAAAAACAACTCACAAGATAAAGATTCTTGTAATAAATATCAAGTCAAATATTCGACTGAGCAATAACAATTTTGGCCGACCTAGACCACTATTATTCTGCCATATTCCCCGTATTGTTCTACACTTCTTTTTTATTTGATTCTTTCCACGACAAATATTCACATCTATCTTTGCCAAGCATCCTTAAATCCGTTTCAAACCACTTTTAGCTCGTTGATCAAATTCGTTTATCAACAGTTTGGCGCTAGAAGAAGGGCTCCATAAGTTATTTGGAGTCAATTTTCACTTCGTAAACAGCACTACAAGACTTCTTTCTTTCTTTTTCCCAAAAGACGGTCGAAATACGATGCTATCCAGCGAAGAACCTAAAGACTCTGGTGCGAAACATATTCAAGACGCTAGAGAAAATCCAAAGACGCAGTGGAAGCAGTGAAGACCCTAAAGCCTCTGGTGCGAAACATATTCCTAAAGCGGGAGAAAATCCAATGACACAGCGGAAGCAATGAAGATCCTGAAGACTCCGGCGCGAAACATATTCAAGACGCCGGAGTAAATCCAAAGACGCAGCGGAAGAAGTGAAGACACTAAAGACTTCAGCGCAAAATGTATTCAAGACGCAGCGGAAGCAACAAAGACCACGAAGACTCTGATGCGAAGCATATTCAAGATGTCGGAGAAATCCAAAGATACGACGGTAGCAACGATGATCGTGAGGACTCCGACACCGAATGCATTTGAGACGCCGGAGAAAAGAGACACACTCACACTGCCGGGAAACTTGGAGGAACGCCGACTCAATGGGAAGCGGTAGCCCAGTTACCAGAAAACACGATGAAAACACGATGGGCGGCGATTGATCGAGCCCGGACGAGGGAATCTGGAGAGCGTAGGTCGGACGCATGCCCTCGGGCTAGGACGGCCGCTTCTCCGGCCAGTTCTCACCTTGGGTGGCAGAAATATCGAAACGATGGGGGTGAGAAGTGTGACCTTCAACATCCCCTTTGACTTTAAAACCCCAAGTCTAGAGATTGTAACGTTTTCGTTACGCCCCAGCCCCATTCGAAACCGACAGTAGTTGAGGGTCTCGAAGAGAGCCCGAAATCAAGGGTAGGTTGGTAAGAGTCTAGGTCAGTATGATGACCTCGACATGCTGGGCTTAAGAGATCCATAGGCAAGAATGGTAACATCAGACATAAGTCGTACGCAAGGAGAAGAGGGAATCCTTTGCAGATAGAAAGTATGTATCCTTAAGGACTCAAGAAACGAGAAATCTAGTTAGTTAGGAATGTGGATATGCAAAGATAAATTTCCTATCTAGGAGTCTCTTAATCACCAAGCAACCCTAAGTATAAAAGGGTATCCATGTTTATTATTTTACACAGAACACATACACATGAAAATATACTACTGCTGCATTATTGTTGAACACGGATTGACTTGAATGTCAGAGTCTTTTCTGTCGGGGCCCCTTCTGGTGTTTTGCTAGTCATCGTAGATGACGGAGCAGTTCGAGTTGACGATTCGTGGTTCAGACAAAATTAAAAGGCAAATTGCGCAACATGCAGTTTGGTTCACCTCGCTCGGGGCTGCTCCTGTCGCGTCCTCCCTCATCCGGGATCATCCTCGATGCTTCGGGTTAATCGATAAATTTAAAAAAAAAATACATAAATCGACCTATGACCCATGCAGATCCGCACATGAATGATTCTAGAAAGCAGTAAACTATTACAAATATTCACAACGCAAAAAAAAAATGCCAGACAATCCGAGACTTTAAAAACGCCAGTTGTAACGCCCCACTTTATTTTAAAAGATTAATCGAATTTATTTAATACAAATCAGAGTAAATTTTTCGCAAATCTCGTTTAAGTTTAAAATCCAATGGGCAATACTTATTTTACCAAGAGCAATTTATCCAAAATAAATCAGAATGAACCTGCACATTTATCAAGATCCAAAAACAATAAAATAAAAGCACAATCCAACAGTTCAATCCGTTCAACACTTTTCTAAAGTTAAACCAGTTCAAACATAACCCAATAAATCATAATATGTTCATAAATGCGAAAGCAATTTAATAAACATAAATAACAGGCAAGACCACCCACTCGCCTTGCCTCGTCACCCACCAACTGCTTAACCTGCATCCGTGAAGAGCAGGTGGGAGTGAGTACAGTTAAATATTGTACTCACACTATGAATATGCATAACATAATAATGGTATGGTTGCAGCATGAACATAAACAATAATCACAACACGTCTCATCTCCTAATCAATATCACACCATTTAACCTTACTCCTGTGCACATCTATTGCTAGCCGCAGAACAGGGATTCATTACCTGAAGGCGGGAGTACGTGCCACTGTAACGGACACAGCCTTCCATATGGGCTTACGTACCTCACAAGGGCACGGTCATATCAGGACTTAAAGGAGATTGGCCCACAAGGGCACCGTACCGTAACTCGACGGGGACAACCGTACCGACGGCCGTAACAGCTCACATCAATAGGCTACATGTTCATTTTCATACATAGATCACACCAAATTTGCAACATGATTAAAATCAAACATATGCATATATAATTTTTGAATAACAACCCACCTGGAAATCGAGGTAGGATATCACACTGAAATAGCAGATAAGTAGGTCGAGGGCTTGACTCCTCAAACACCTACAATTAAGTAATATAATACATCAATAATCTATCTCACTATTCGAATTTAACATAAAACCCACGTTTAATCAAAATTAAGGCTTAAAGGATTTTATCGGATTTTTCGTGGACTTGGAACTCTCAAATTTTTAAAAGAAAAGACTCGGAGGACAACAATGGAGTCTCGGGACTTAAAATAATTTTTCCCAAATTTTTCTCATTTCAAAATAATTTTTTTTTAAATCAAGTTCGGTATTAAAAAGGGCTGAAAAAAAAAACCAAACTAAACCATCTGTCCAGAATTTGGGCCAAAAGCTGCCCAGATTTGAGCCTCGCGCATAATGGGCCAAAGGCGCGCCTAACCTGGGCCGAATGGGCCATCAGTTCAAATATTGGGCCGCAATTCAAGCCTGGCATGGGTTGTATTACGCGTGGGCCTCTCTGGGCTGAGAGGCGGGTCCGCAGGCCGCAGCTGCTGTGAGATGAAATGGGCCTATTCACCGCCCCCCATTTTACTAATCACCGCCCCCCTTGGACAATTTTGCCCTTCTCATTTTTTCTAAACATCTCAGAGGAAAGTGTACGGTGAAATGTCGTCAAATTCGGAGGTACGAAAAAATAGGTGTTCGGCCGCCGGTTCCGGACGGCTTTTAGCCCGTCCGGCCGCCGGAACCGGACGGTTTTTAAGCCGTCCGGCCGGCCGGTCCGGACGGGCTAAAAGCCGTCCAGAAAGTACGACGTTTATCGTGTTAGGAGTTACAAATTATTATGTTACATGTTGATTATAATATAAATTGGACGTTTAGATATTATCGTGTTACGAGTTAGAAATTATTATATTACATATTAGTTTTAGTTATGTTATAAATTGACGTTAGATAGTATCGTGTTAAGAGTTACAAATTATTGTGTGACATGTTTATTATAATATAAATTGGACGTTAGATATTATCGTGATCGTGTTAGGAGTTACAAATTATATTAATTGAACGTTAGATAATATCATGTTACGAGTTACAAATTATTATGTTACATCGTAGAATTAATTATCTTAATTTAACATGTTCTAAAAATATAAATATTGTACTATATAGCAGGAGTCATGGGAAGATTTTGGAAGAGATGGTGTTGATTACAGTATGCATTTCGATACATGTACATTCTATAATAGTGCTCAGGAGGCTATTGAAGCTGCAAAACACCAGGCAATGCTGAATGGTTTCCTATTAATTATTTCGAGCCACAAAAAGAAAACGGTCAGACTTTTGAAGTGCCATAGAGGCGAACGGTACAGAGACACAGGCGGAAATTCTAGAAGGACAAAAACGAATAAGTGCGGCTGCAATTTTGAGATCAAAGTAAAAAAGGTGTCCGATGTTCCATACTGGAGGATCTGTAGATGTAGCAATGAAGAGAAAGGCTACCATAACCATGCATTTGCTGTGTATCCTGAAGGTCATAGCCAGTTGAGCGGTCTCAGCGCTTCATCTAAGAGAATTGTTCGTGACATGACAGACGCTCAGGTGGCCCCGAAAAAAATTATGGCCGCACTGAAGGAAAAGAATCCGGGAGACAACGTTCATGTGTGGCAGGTATATATATTTATATCTTGTAATATATATTTTAATTAAATTTTTTAAGTTAATTATGATAATTAGTAATTTTTTATATGTAAAAGTTATTGTAATAATTAATAAATTTTATTATATTTACTAATGTATTATTATTGTGATAGTTAATAATTTTTTTATCAAATTAATCGCATTAAT